AAGTACAGATACCCAAAAATTCTATTTAAGTACAGTAAAGAAGTATTTGTACTTAGTTACTTTATAACTCTGCTTTTGGTGTGTATTATGAAACAAAGACTTTTAAAAGCAGATTTGCAGTTCTAATATAATTGTAAAAAAAAGGCATAGTGAATTATAAAACAAATGTAAAATAGAAGATTATATTATTTGGTACAGAAATGGTAGACTGCTTTTCTTTTGCTTTTATGTCAACAGGACCAGAGATATTCATTTAAAGTACAGGAGGAAAAATATTCAAGGTGCTAGATGAGATTTAAGCAGGAAGTAGTGACCAAAACGTGATGAGTTTTCATGTCACAATCGATAATTTGGAGGGAAGAGTAATTACTCTGTTTTTGGGAGGGCATRTTTTCATGAAGCCGGAGCTGAATTAGTGTTTAGTGTTCCACGAGTAATTGTCATCATTGAGGACACTTACACTGCACATAATAATAAGGCAGCACTCTGTAGGGCTGCACATAAAAGCTTTTTCTTTGGCAGAGCACGGCTACGGTCAGCTTTGTCCAAGAAAATACGAAACATTTTACCTTTGAATGAGGTGACATGAAAGTATGACCAAGTCCTGTTGCAGTAGGTGAAAAAATTATTTTAAACAGAACGCAGGTTTCAATGCTTCAACGTTATTCTTTCTCCCTTCATTCACGTTGAGTTTAAATTCTGATGTAAGATGAATAATGAAGAGGGGTGAAAAAAAAGCTTTTATCACATTAAAGTGGATGCTTTCACACCATGAAGTCCTTACTGCTTCAGCTGTTGAGAAAAAAGTAAATAAATAAATAAAAGTATCAAACCCTCCTACTTGCATTTGTGCGTAAAACAAAAGTAGCACTGTTTCCGTCTAAACAGTTTATATTTTACATTGTTGCTGTGTTTGTGAAGCACAATGCAGATGAAAACATACAAGGCCACAAAATGAATAATTAATTAGAAAAATACATTAAAAAAAGGCAAACGACCCCCAAGAAAATAAATTATGTTTTGCTGTGTGATGACATAAATAGAAATGCGATGAAAAAGAAAAAGCTAAAATTAAAATCTCCTTTGGCAGCAAATAAAAATTTTTCATGTAAACACGAGCGAAAGCGATCCAAATGAGTGTATGTGGGCGGTGGACATGCAGGAGCTGAGTGTCACATAACATGAAGACAAATGTTTAAGCTTGTCACTTTTTGCGTATTAACCAAGTCGTTTGGCAGAAGTCGGAGGAGACATGGTTTTGGCGAGGCTGTGTGATCCTCGGGCATCCGAGCTGAGGAACTGGCTCGGCGCAGTTTAACTTGACACATCCTTAAAGGCATTGTGTTGTATTATTAATCACCCTGTGGAAAAATACAATTTAAGAGCATTTTGACAGTTTTAATGACACGGTTTTGTATTTGAAGCCCAAGACTACTCATTTGTGCCGTTAAAAAAAAAAAGCTCTTTATTCACTGACAGACAGTATTTCCAGACAAGCAGATTGTAACGGTTAGTCAGGATTATAGCTCTGTCTCACAATATCACTTGATTATACTAAATAAAAACGTGATTAATTATCCTTTAACTTAATGTGTGAGACATATATTTTTATGTCCCCTTTTGATTTAATTTGCAAGACATCATTGATCACTGCTAGTGAAGTTAGTCCCTGAGGTTGCATCACCAGGTCACRCTGCACAGTTGGAGCAGGAAGGTGTTAATTAAGAGCTCAGTGTTCTTTTCAAAGCTCTACGTGAGTCACACGGGTTACTTCACTTAATCTGAGATCTGTCGAAGAATGTCATGGCGCAGACACAATTGTCTCTTTAAAATACCGAGTCAGTGCTTGCACAAAATTAAAAAGTGCAAAGGTTGCAAATATCAACCTGAAAGTGTTGGATTAGGAAAGCAAAGATGCTGCGACATTAACAGCTGGGTTGGAGGCTACTCAACAAGAAGTTAGGTCTTATATAAGACACAGATTCATGTATCAATCCTTTTGTTCCTTTAAAAAAAAATTATATCTAGAAGTTGACCATTGACTGATGATGATCTTTAGAAATCAGGGTAGCCAATGACCAAATTACAACACAAATTTTTTGTCTAATATGTATTTTTTTATTGTTTAAAGGGCCAATATTATGTGTTTCTCAGGTTACTACTATACTATACCATAATAAAGTATCTATGTCACCTTTAGTTGTTATTAAAATGCATTTTTTATGTTTAAATAGAAAATAAACTTATCATCTCATCACTTCCTCTTCTAAACACTTTGAAATTGGCCTCTGTCTCTTTAAGAACCACCTTCCACTTCCGTTTTGCCCATTTAGGTTGGGGGGGGGGGGGGGGGGGGGGGCTGCTATGATGCAGTTTACTTGGCATCTGAAAATGCATTTCTGAAAAGAGCTTCACTGAGTGAGAACTAATGTTGAGAGCTCAGCAGACAGTTAGGTTTCACTTTCACCCGAGAGCCTGCAGGAGTCATGGGTGGGGTGTGTGGGGTGGGACGGAAGCTTAAAGACACGTCCCAGGGGCGTTTCTGGTCCCCACCTGTCGTTTTGCTCCTCAGCATGGCTGCCTAAAAACACTGCAGGATTTCTCAGACATGCATGAATGAGTCAAAGCAAGGCTTTGAGCATGTTTTTTTTACGAGAGTATAACATTATAACATGATATAAAACTCAAAAAAGTTGATTTTTACATGATATTGCCCCTTTAACAGAGTTCAATAAGTATATTAAATGATCCTTAGAAGTGCTGGTACATTTCAAAATAATATGCTGTATAATATAGCATTCTCACTTAAAAATGAAATAAACTAACTAAACTGTGAACTACAGTAAGTTGGTAAAAGCAGCTGCTGTTGCATCTTCATTTTGCTGCTTGGAAATTGATTATGTATGCACAGCATTGGTTGACGGCCAATTTAATTATTTATTTTAAACAGGCCAATATCAATCTTTCTCTAAATATTTATTAAGTTGTATCAAATCTAACACTTTGGAAAATAAGAATTTAACTAAAAGGCTACATTTGAGTTTTGCACTCAGTTTTGTTTTTCATTTATCAAAAGGGACATCCTTTTTTTACTGGTCTTTTAATATGTAATAGCWCAACAATTTGTTTTAAACTTTAAAGGCAGCAATACTTGCTGTCAGTTCTTTTTTTTTCATATTTAAATCATTCATTTGGGGTTTATATAAAATGAAACAGTAATCTTTGGTCTAATTTCTCCTTATTGTAACTCCACAAGCCCCTCTTTCACCACTTTTCTGAGGTGTGTACTCGTTTTGATGCTGTCCCTTTAAATCCAAACAAGGTGTTTTACACCCCGCCCCCCCTCCAGCTTCCAAAGCGGTCCACTCTAGCTTGATAGAGGGKTTTACGACGATATAGCAGTGCAGAAGTGTTTAATTTAAATTTATTTAAAAAGGGAGCCAGAATCTGACCCTGAGAGGAGAATAAAGACAAATTATAGTTCGTAAGCCCAGACTTTATTTGGCAAATCTGTTGCTAATAACTTGACATAATCWTTCAGAAAATGTGAAAAAATAGAGAGAAACCTGGTTGGATTGAAAAGTATGACCCAAAAATAATATAAAGATATTTATGCAGCACTGGGAGAGACTCAATTCAGCTTTTCTGCACTCTTAGAGATTCCAAGGCTAAAAAAGGTGTATGCTTCGTTATATGTACTCATTAAGCAACAGTGGTTCATTTGCAAAACCCAAGTTCCATCAGACTTTCTATGTAAAGTGGATATAAAAGCAGGGCTTGTCAGAGAATGCTAAATATGTTTTCAGATGGCTGATATGTTATTTAAACCTTAATATATATGCATTTTTTTCCTTTCACTGCGTTGTTCTTTTTATTAACCTTAATTAAAGAGAGCAACATAGTGTATGAAAGACGATTTCGACATCTCCGTTCCTCTACACATCTCCAACAAAGGATTTACAGACTTCAGCATGTTACCACTTCTGTCACTATCTGACACTGACAATCTGCCATTCACAGCAAGCTTTGCGGAGGTTAGAAACGGGCCAGGGTCTGTAGTTCTCTCTGGCTCTTTATTTTTCCTCAATGCTTGACACAGCGACATCTGTCACTTTCAAGATCCAGGCTGTATGGATTCATTTTTCTTTCATCCGGCCAAGTTTATTGACACACTAGAGAATTCGTATGACTTTTTCAGTCGCTCCAAACTGTGCTAAAAATGTGCTGTGATACGCAGCACCTTTCTCAATGCAACAGACTGAAAATAACTGGAGAATAAAAGACTTAAATAATGATAGAATTTTAATGTACGGTAATAAAACATGCTTTTACTGCCTCTCTRTGATAACATGGTTGGGATCTGATGAACTAATTAAATGATATTATGTGTTCCAGGTGATTTTAGAGTGGCCCACAGATCTGGCAGTTAGCCCCATGGACAACTCTCTCTATGTACTCGACAACAATATAGTGCTGCGCATCACAGAGAACGGTCAAGTCAGTATTGCAGTGGGCCGACCCATTCACTGCCCACTGGCCGGACTGGAGCGTGGYATGGCTGGTGGTCAAAGGGCGCACTTGACTCCGCTAGAATCGGCCGTTTCCATTGCCATCTCTTACCACGGGGCCATTTACATAGCAGAGACGGATGAGAGAAAGATGAGCAGGATCCGGAAGATTTCTGTGGATGGCGAGATAACACACTTGGCTGGAGCTCTCTCTGACTGCGACTGCAAGAACGATGCCAACTGCGACTGTTACCAGACAGGAGACGGCTATGCCAAAGACGCCAGGCTGAATGGTCCGTCTTCATTAGTGGCAGCTCCAGATGGGACCCTCTACGTGGCGGACCTGGGGAACATCCGTATCCGCGCCATCTCCAGAAACGGGCCAACTTTGACGTCCAGCGGCAGCACGTACGAGGTGGCCTCCCCCGACGCCCAGGAGCTGTACATGTTCGACATCAACGGCACACATCAGCACACTGCCAGCTTGCTCACCGGCGACCTGAAGTACACCTTCAGCTACAGCACGGAGAACGACATCACGGCTGTCACCGACAGCAGCGGCAACACCCTGAGGATCCGGAGGGACGCTAATCGCATGCCCGTGCGCGTCGTCGCCCCAGACAACCAGGTGATCTGGCTGACGATGGGGACCAACGGTGGCCTGAAAACGCTCACGGCTCAGGGTCAGGAGCTCGTGCTGCTCACATACCACGGCAACAACGGCCTGCTCGCCACCAAGACCTCAGAGATYGGCTGGACAACTTTCTATGAGTAAGTATAATTAACATTGGCAAGATCATTCCGTGGAACTGCTTATATCATTTGCCAAAGTCTGATTGATTGAGGTTTCATATTATTTAGGCCTTCTCATTATGGAAACAGCCCACAGTGCAAATTAAAACACACCTCCCACTTTGTGCATACTAATACAAACTGTGTAAACAGATGTAATTTGTGCTTAGGCAGATAAGATTACGTTTAGGAATGAAAAAGTGCACCGTTCTCTCTGGAATGGGGAGGCAATATTAACAAACTTGCAGATTTAATAGTTTTGTTTTGTCTCATAACCTGTCATTATTATTAATACCGCTACAGCTGATACTGCATTATATTTTAATTTAAACCTCGTGTTATTGGCACACACGCAGACAACATGTTAATGAATTTGTGTCATGCATTTGCCTGTACTTGTTCATTATAGTCTCGCCGAAGTACAAGTTTATCMAATTAAGGGTAACAATACTTACCTGCAAATTGCTCAAGGGTGCACATTTAATTGAAGTCTAAATATAAAATTTGCCTTAGATCTGTAAAATAGCCTAGTTAGACTTAAATAACTCCATAAAGTGCTGCATTTGTTCTCATTTCAGTTCTTCTACTTGTATTGGCTATGACCAAAGCTAAAGGTGATCCAATCGAATCAAATCAAATAATCAACCATATTGCATAATTAAACAAAAAGGCAATTTAAACCTTCTATTCTATTCTAGCTTGCTTTAGTGGCATAACCTCTCTGTGATTGATTGTTTTACTCTTATGTCATTCCCTGTCATGTCCCATTACGCCAAGCATGATATTCTCGCAACAAAAACAACGAGGCAGCCAGTTGTGATTAGAATGACACATCAATCATTAAAAATGAATTCATTACAAGGCGTTTTTTTTTTCTCTTTCGGTTTGTTTTGTTGTTGTAACCAAATCAAAGCGGATGTGTCACTCACTCATATTAAATATTTGGATTGTGCCCAAGCCATTTTTTTTACAAACATCCTTCCACTTGTGCTCGAGAAGTGGAAGATATCCAGGAAGAGAAAATGTGACATTTTAATTACAAGAAAGTCGGTGGTCTCACTCGAGTCTATAGGAGTTGATAATTGAATGAATCATTGCGCTGGGAGTCTTCATACATATAAATGCTTTTGTCGTTTGATTGCTCGTTCTGTCAAACAGCTATGACAGTGAAGGTCGGCTAATGAATGTGACGTTCCCCACTGGAATGGTGAATAACCTGTACACGGACATATACAGTGCTTTGATGGTGGACATCGAAAGCTCCTTGACGGAGGAGGAAATCAGCATCACAACGAATACCTCGAGCGTCCGCGCCTTCTACACTCTGGCTCAGGGTAAGGCCTCGTTGCTAATCTCCCGAACGGAGCAGCCGTTATTTGTCATTGTTTCAAGGGTCTGCGGGGCAATGTTGAGTAAGCCAAAGTCGTGTATCATTACAACTCAGAGGGTTCGACAGTGTAAATGATTACTCTGTGGGTGTGTGGGCTGGCATGTCAGAGTCAGGGAGACACATCAACCTTGTTACTAAGTGGTTTCTACTGTGTCCCACAGCCAGATGGTCCAATTATTTCCTCACATCATTCATGTTTCGTTTTGTTTTTTTAGCTGAAGATTGTCCAATTTCTGACGCTAACAGATTTTTTTGCTCTTTGAAATGAAGCCATTAATGACCCCAAGAAACTGCTTTATATATTCTATAAATATTGTTTCTAACTATTCTATCTGACTTTTCCTATGTTCACTTTGTTTTTCAATAGACCAGTGTAGAAGTAGCTATCAAGTAGGCTATGACAACTCTCTGAGGATTACCTACGCCAATGGGATGGACACCCACTACCAAACAGAGCCTCACATCCTAACAGGAGCTGCCAACCCGACTGTCGCCAGGCGCAACATGAGCTTGCCAGGAGAGGTTGGGCAAAACTTGGTTGAATGGCGCTTCCGGAAAGAACAAGCCAGAGGGAAAGTTATCGTGTTTGGACGCAAGCTAAGGGTATGGCTGGATTTGTTTTACTAAATCCTTCTTTTTTTGTGAAAGATGTAGCACACATAATCAGTGGCATATGAGATCTACATTCTTAACTAAAAAATAAAAGTAAAAACTSTTATTAGGAACAAATTGCCATTTTTGGATTGCAGCATGCTTTATGTTATTATTTCAATAATTTGGATGTCAGAAATCATATGACATTAAGACAAAGGAAAAGACAATGATTTTCTATTAAACAAGAAAATATTAGTTAATTAAAAAGTATTTTGAAAGGATGTGAAATAGTCTACATCAAATTTGTGATAAGATAAGATTTTAATGGGGAGAAATAATAACAGAATAAAAAACACTATATGCTCATCGTGTGTGTGTGTGTGTGTGTGTGTGTGTGTGTGTGTGTGTGTGTGTGTGTGTATATATATATAAATACTGTATATATACAGTATATAAAGCAGCCTCGGCCCCCACAAGGCTGCTTTTTTGGGACAATTTTCCCCACTTGTGCGAAAAACTCATCCACATACACACAGACATGTACATTAATCACATATACATACACGCAACCAACACTAGTATATATACTGTATATATACAGTATATAAAGTAGCCTCGGTCCCCACAAGGCTGCTTTTTTGGGACAATTTTCCCCACTTGTGCGAAAAACTCATCCACACACAGACATGTACATTAATCACATATACATACACGCAACCAACACTAGTATAAATAAATATCAAACTAGGTATAAATATTTTAGATATATATTTTATATATATTATGAAGTATTAAGAAACCAATAGGAAAAACCTAAACAAACACAAAAAAAAGAGACAGCCACATAAGAATGACACTTTTATTTAAGCTTTTGTTCAGAAATGTAGCAGGTGAAACCTGTATTTCAAAWGAAAACAATAAAATTCAAATGGCTTATCGTTACACAGCACGTGCTTGYAAAACATGTGACACTAAATTGATTTGAGAAGCAGGAAAACAAAATAATGGACCAAAATTGGTGTGGGAATTCTTAATACACTTCTGTTAATTGGGTAAAAAACGTTTCTGAGGTCTGTTTGGTTAAAYTACAATAAAATTCTTGGCAGTCACTTTGCCATGTGACCGCCGGCTTTTTGCTTTCGTAATTACAGCTATTGATCTCCTCTGTTCCCAAACATGAACCTAGTGTTGTGAAAAAAAAGGTAGAAAACATGTTATGCAAGAAGAGAAAAAAACATTCTCCTGTTTAGACCTTTTTCAATGTGTTGTTGATTTAAAATTAATTTTTATAAGTTAGCACATATGTAAAAATAAAAAAGTTACATTTCTGTTTAAATAGAATGTATTTTAATTTTTTCAGTTATAAAGTGGATGAAATAATTTGTAAATTATTGTATATAACATCTATCAGTGTTTAATACATATTGTTTTGTTGCAAAATAAATGCACAGTAYAATACTATATGGTTTTGAATTATATTTATATACCGGTGTAACAAAGATCTATATATATCATTTCTTCCTTTGATTTAAAACATTTTACAAGCACAACATTTTACTTTGATTTAAAAGGTCATTAATTTTCTATAAGTCCACCTCCTTGTACTCCCCCTTTCTAGTCTCTGGCTCAGATTTATGATTTATGGTATTTTATGAACATGGGTGGGTACATGGACTCACTGTAATTTTTGTCACCACAAAATTTAGGAGCTTTTAATTTAAGAGTACCTGAGCAATTTACAGAGTGGCTTTAAGTTTAATGAGGCTTATGAGGGGGGCGTTAATCTTTGTGACAACTGTAGTGCAAGTCTTTCTAAAAGTAATTTTGAGATCCATCTAGACGAGCCAATAATATCAGAATTAGGATTTCTGTCCTTTAAGATGCAGCTTTATGCACATTGGTTGTACGTTTTTATAGCACATTTGTATTACATTGTCACTGCAAGACGTCAGTGGAGTTTGAGGAATTTTTTTTTATCTTATCCATTGTTAAATCTTACCCACAGGTGAATGGACGAAACATTCTCTCTGTTGATTATGATCGCACCCTGAGGACAGAGAAGATTTACGATGACCACAGGAAGTTCCTRTTAAAAATTATATATGACACTGCGGGCCACCCGGTCCTGTGGATGCCCAGCAGTAAGCTACTACTGCCAGTTAATGTGAGCCGCACAAGCACTGGGCAAATCAGTGCCCTGCAGAGAGGTCCCACCACTGAGAAGCTKGAGTATGATGGCCAAGGTCGCCTGATTTCCAGGGTGTTTGCGGATGGGAAGATATGGAGTTACACCTATCTTGAGCAGGTGAGAAAATGGCATGACCAGCAGAAATAATATCAGGGATATATTGTGCAGCAGGCTATTTTTTATCTCCACAAAGGAAATTGAAACCTTCAGTCTCTTCACTGTTTACAGTATGTGATGTGTCAGGATAATTAAGGTAGTAGTGGCTTAATGTATTTAACTTAAAAAAATACACTTAATAAAGTACACATTTGAGTACATAAAATAACTATTTGAATGTCTCTTTTACTGTGTTATGTGTGCAGGCTATTACATACACATGTCAGGGTGTGACATGTATGCTTTTGGTGGCTTATTTCTGGTGTTCTTGTACCTTTTTACCCATTGCTTCAATCAAATTTACCCTTGAGGAACAACAAAGGTCTGAACTGAACTAATAAAATGAATATTTTAAACTATAGGTTAAATCACTAAATCTGCTACCACTTTTTGAAGCATACTGTAGATGTCAAGTTGAACAAATTTCCCATTTTCCATGTAAATGGACATATAGGGCAATCACATTTTTTTTTCAAATGTCAGATTTTCTTCAAAAACTCACCTTCATAATTATTTTACATCGCAGACACTATAGGATTTGAAAAACAAAATAAATAAATAAGTTAAAATAACCATCTCGCTCTGCTACCAGAAATAAGTTTGCCACGTCTCCCCGTCCTCCTTTCCCAGCTCCTCTGAGCTGCAGGCACTGTTATCTCTGCCTCATGTTCTGGTTTTCCCTGCAGCCCCTGCTTTTGATATGCGGGAGGATACCAGAATACCCAAACAAAACCCACAAATGCACAGGAAAAAAAAGTACACTCCACCAAAATAGGCTCCAGGTCAGGAGGTGATCCTGTGACCGTCTTTGCTTAGACCTCCTTGTCACCGTCATGCGTTCTGATTAAAAATGAAAAACGTATAGAATTTAGTATTTAATAAATGTCGCACACTCAAAGATTTTTCAGAATGTGTTGCAATCACAGGGGTCACCCCCTGCTGGATGTTAAAAAAATGCAGTGTTAAACACAAAAAGCACATACAGTATGTTACATCGAGACATTAGTTTTGAAWAGCCTTCACATATAATGGAGTAGAAGAGCCAATCAAATAGTTTCTCTATATGAACATATGTGTACCTTAATAAATTTAAATTCTATAAGGTTGAAATGCTGTTTTAATAGGAAATAATATCAAATCAGTGTTGACATTCCAAAAATCTAAGCTGTAATTTTGTGACACTGATGTTTAAAGTGTTGTTATGTGAATAAGTGATAGAATTGTACTTCACTGTAGTGATAAGGAAAACGATTTCTGGCATACATTTTTGATGAGACTGGACTAAAATTTGCATCTTTTCAGACATTTTGCCTTTATTTAACTTGCCTATTTTCTCGGTATGTTAGCCCAAGCTTACATTTTATGCTCTAAACTGTAACTATATATAAACCTAATTAAAATTACCAAAGTAAATAACTGCAATTCTTTTATACTCCTTTGTCGAAGTTAGTTTCCATTTATTTTTGTATGCAGGATCTTAATTCTTCCACTTAGGTCTGTTCCTATCTTTACAATGACTGCTGTATATGTAGCAGTATACATAATTTATTTTTTAAGTGCATTTTAAAGCACTTTTAAAAACACAAATAAACCATTTGATCAGAAACCAAAAATGGCAACCCGCATTCTGTCAAWACATGACACAGAACAAACCTCTGATGTTTATTCTTCACCATTTTTGGAGTGTGATTTTTAAAACTTGCAACAAGAATGATCAACAACAAAAACATGCAAAGGTTTTTTTTTTTCTTTCATCATCCACTTCTGGCTCCCTCCTGTCATTGCGTGACCTAGAAAGGCCATGTCAACGTTGACATAAGTAACACAGGGGACTCAGGGAGCACAGGAAACCTCAGTGTTGCAACGGATGACTGAGCATGACATTTTAACAGAGAGGGTGGTGAACCTTTGTGAGACAGAGCACACTCTTAAATTCTTATTCTCTAAATTGATCAAACAGGTCTAGGTACTAAGGGATTGGATCGTGTAGATGTGCCTTTTAATTACAGTTAAAGATGTTTAAAAAAATACACCGTCTTCTACGCAATTACCTCATACAATAAAAGTTTATTGGCTAAGCTCTATGTGATGTTTAATTTCCTATTTTCTGTCTATTTTTTTAACGTGGACAGTTTTGTTGATGTGCAACATAACTGGTCGCTGAGGTCTCACAAGTGTCACTTCTCTCTACCTTCTACATTTTTTATGCACAGTTTCACTGCTCCTCAAAGCAGGAAATTCTGTCTGGCTCACTCTGCTTTGCATTATACATATATTATGTGACCTGACTGAAAAAAAAAATCTATGTATTTTTGCTCTTTTCCTCCTAGTCCATGGTTCTCCTGCTCCACAGTCAGCGTCAGTACATATTTGAGTTCGACTCACTCGAAAGACTTTCTGCTGTCACCATGCCAAGCGTAGCCCGCTACACCATGCAGACCATCCGTTCAGTGGGCTACTACAGGAACCTTTATCACCCACCAGAGAGCAACTCCTCAGTCGCTGTGGACTACAGTGAAGATGGCCTCCTCCTAAGAGTAGCCCACTTTGGAACAGGTCGTAGAGTCCTGTATAGGTACCGTCGGCAGAATAAGCTCTCAGAGATCCTATATGACAGCACAAGGGTCAGCTTCACCTACGACGAGACAGCAGGGGTGCTGAAGACCGTCAACCTGCAAAATGAGGGTTTCATCTGCTCCATTCGGTATCGGCAAGTGGGCCCCCTGGTGGACCGGCAGATTTTTCGCTTCAGCGAGGATGGCATGGTCAATGCACGCTTCGATTACACCTACGACAGCAGCCTGCGTGTCACCAGTGTTCAGGGTGTCATCAATGAAACTCCCCTACCCATCGACCTATACCAGTTTGATGACATCTCAGGAAAAATCGAACAGTTTGGAAAATTCGGTGTCATCTATTATGATATAAATCAAATCATATCTACGGCAGTCATGACATACACAAAGCACTTTGATGCACATGGACGGATCAAAGAGATCCAGTATGAAATATTTCGCTCACTGATGTACTGGATTACGTTCCAGTATGATGATGTTGGAAGAGTCACTAAAAGAGAGCTCAAAATTGGCCCCTTTGCCAACACCACCAAGTACAGCTATGAATATGATGTGGATGGCCAGCTTCAAACTGTGTACTTAAATGAAAAAGTAATGTGGCGTTACACATATGACCTAAATGGAAATCTACACTTGCTGAATGCTGGAAACAGTGCCAGGCTCCTGCCCCTGCGGTATGACTTGCGAGACCGTATCACTCGAYTGGGAGATATCCAGTACAGAATGGACGATGATGGTTTTCTTCGTCAACGAGGAGCAGAAATCTTTGAGTACAACTCAAAAGGACTCTTGGTGCGGGTCTACAGCAAGAGCAGCGGCTGGACAATTCAATATCGMTACGATGGACTTGGTCGCAGAGTGTCAACCAAAAGCAGCTTGGGCCAGCACTTGCAATACTTCTATGCAGACCTGAGCTACCCGGCAAGGATAACTCATGTGTACAATCACTCCAGCTCGGAGATAACTTCATTCTACTATGACCTCCAAGGTCACCTATTTGCTATGGAGATCAGCAGCGGAGAAGAGTTCTACATTGCTTGCGATAACACTGGCACGCCTTTGGCTGTCTTCACCAGCAATGGACTTTTGGTCAAACAGCTCCAGTACACTGCATATGGTGAGATATATTTTGACTCTAACCCAGACTTCCAGCTGGTGCTTGGGTTTCATGGAGGACTATATGAGCCGCTGACCAAACTGCTGCACTTTGGAGAGCAGGATTATGATATAATGTCTGGCAGGTGGACCATTCCAGATATCTCAGCTTGGAAACACATTGCCAAAGATCCAGCGCCTTTTAATTTGTACATGTTCAGAAATAATAACCCCATCAGCAAAGTCCATGAACTGAGAGAGTATGTTGCAGGTAAGATTCAACGTTCTTGAACCTGAATGTACTATTAACCATATTTATTTTACCAAAAAGATTACTTGTTTTTATAATCATATAAATATTCTTAATGTTTGCTTTGACTTTACAAATTATGTGTATCAATTTATTCAGTTATTCTATTTTCTTGTTTATGTCAAAATAGCGAATTCTTGGTCTTTGYAAAATTGTGCAGAAATATACAAATTATTAGGCATCATAAATATTGAATCCCATTAATACAAAGCTATTTAAGTCATACATTGTCTATTTTAATTGATTTATATATTCTGCTTTTATAGATGTTAACAGCTGGCTTGTAACATTTGGGTTTCATCTCCACAACACTATTCCTGGGTATCCAGTTCCAAAATTTGATCTAAGCATGCCATCTTATGAACTAGGGAAGAGTCAACTCTGGGATGATCTGCCGGTGGGTAAAATTAATTCCTCACTATTGATTAAAAATACCTGAAAAACAAGAACGTTTGAGCTTCTCTCCCTATAATTTCTTTCTTTTACCATGGTATTTTGAAGCTGTCATTTCTTAATTGGACCTGAGTGTTTTTTGTTTTTTTGTGAATATCAACATTAATTAGTTTATATTTGCATAATTATTATAATAGAAGAGTTTTTTTTCCACCTAGCTTTAATTATTAGGTGGAGATGTTTTAATCTTTTCAAATTTTATATGCAACAATCTGGTGATGCTACTGTTATAACCATCTTTTGATGCTATTTATGCTTTTCGTCTTTGGTTGAAACACCCACATACACACACAAATAAATGTCATCAGGGATTCATCTACTTAGACTTAAGAACACAGCTTGAAAACACTATTATCTTAGACGGGGATGAAAAAACCCAGCAGCAGCGCAGTAGCTGGTTTTAAATGGCCTGGAGAGTCAGGCTCTGCCATGTTCAGGCGTTAACGATTCACTGCACTTTTCCTACAGTCTATCTCTGGGGTCCAGCAGGAAGTAACCAGACAAGCCCATTCTCTCTTGTCGTTTGAGCGGCTGCCAGAGGTCCATCTCAGCCGAGGTCGGAGAGGTGAAAAGTCTTGGCTCTGGTTCTCAGCTGCAAAGTCTCCCATCGGAAGAGCTGTTATGTTCGCCATCTACAAGGGCAGTGTCCACACTCACACACTCAACGTGGCAGGCGAGGATTGCATTAAGGTTGCAACAATCCTCAACAACGCCTTTTATCTGGAAGACCTCCATTTCACCATCGAAGGACGGGACACACACTACTTTGTCAAGCCGGGCCTTCCAGATTCGGACCTAGCTGCGCTGCACCTCACCAGCGGACACAAAACTCTAGAGAACGGCGTCAATGTGACGGTGTCTCAGTCCACCACAGTTATGGACAGCCGGACTCGCCGTTTCGCGGATGTAGAGATCCGTGCCGGCGCTCTCGCGTTTCACATTCGCTATGGCTCAACGGTGGATGAGGAGAAAGCGCGGGTCGTTGAGCTGGCGCGTCAGCGCGCTCTAGCGGGCGCTTGGGCCCGGGAGCAGCAACGAGTGCGAGACGGCGAGGAAGGGGTTCGCCCCTGGACAGAAGGAGAAAAGAGGCAGCTACTGAGCGGCGGAAAGGTTTTGGGCTACGATGGATACTATGTGCTTTCCATCGAGCAGTACCCAGAATTAGCAGACAACTCTAATAACATTCATTTCCTTCGGCAAAGTGAAATTGGGAAAAGGTAACAATTTGAGGTGCATTGTTTGCCAAAGAGACTTGTTTTGGTAGGGCTGTAAAAGCGGACAAAATGAAAAGCAACTGAAATAGTTGCTGACATGTACATTGGGTGTTGTTTTCTTTTGTAAAAAAAAAAGGTGATAAAAGAAAAAGGAAAAAATAGATTAAAAAATAAATAAAAAAAATGAAAATAGAATAAAGAATGAAATAAAGTGGGTCAAAAGCAATGCTGTGCATTGTGGCCCAAAGACTTGAGAATAAATGTACAACGACACTAAGCCTTAACATGGCAATTACAGGTGAGTTCCTCTGTAGCACAAGCCTTCTGGACTCTGGACTCGGAAGCAGAGGAACAACAGTGCTTTTAACAAGACGCTACGCTTATGTAGGTGTTTTATGTTTGATTTTTATGTTCTCATTAAAAAAAAGCTTGGCTTAACGGAGTGTTATGGGAACAGAGGAAATGTTTACATAATGCATATCTGCACTTTTCTAGAAGTACCAGGCTCATGGATTCACAGAGCAAGCAGTGTTCTTGAAAAAAAATTTTTGGTTTTTAAAATCAGAGACTTCTGATGTTTAAAATATTCTCACAAAACAACCACTATGTATACCAGATTTAGCACTGTAAACATCAAACTGTCCTTATTTTCTTTGAGATGCTTTTAAATGGGGGGAAAAAAGATGCTTAAATACTCAGTAGTAGTTGTGGAAAACAAGTGCAGAAATGATGTGACGGAACTCTTTTTGATGATGTGAAGCAGCACAGGTGTGTCTTGGATATCACAGGGACACCATGTTTTGTAAATTATCCAAGAGTTTTATGCAGTTTTTTTTTCCTTTTTGTTTTGTTTCTTTTTAAGAAACTGAATATATGTCTGTACAAGTCATTAACAGTAATTATGTTGTGTTTATACATAAATAAAGTCAAGCTGGTTTTAATTTCCTTCTTTTTATGTCATAGGATTTTTTTATTTTTATTTTTTTACTGGTTACTTTGCTGTGCTTGCATAGATATTCATGTTGGGCTTCATCCCCATTTTTTGAGTAATTGACATGGGCATGTAGTAACAAGTATTTACAAGTGATAATGTATCCACAACATGCAGTCAACTATTACTTCCACTAAATTTAAGATTTATTGGACATAATCTTTTTTGACTTGGCTTCTTGTCCAGGAATGAATATTTTATCAGCACAAATATTTAATGAAAGCAGCTTACATAAACAAGATTACGAAGACCCAAATATAGATCACAAGTCTGAATGAAATGATTTTAGGGTTCTTTTTGATATGTTGTTTATCAGCAACTGTAAAGTTCTTACAAATTCATTTTTAGGTTTCCAAGCAAATTTCAAAAAAGGCAAAGCACGTTGAGTGTTGGGCTAATCAGACACTAATTTGAAAATCATCAAAGAAAGTCTCTCAAAGTCGTGATGCGTGAATAGCAAGAGTATTTAAATAAAAAAATAAACACAAATTGCATTAATGATTGAAAAGCCTCTTTGAGCTACAAAGCCAAAGAAGACAAATGCAGCTTTGCTGTGAAGACCGCTGCTTGAAGCCGTTCTGAGTTGAAGTGTGYGAATTTGAAGGCAAGGAAATTTCGAGTGTAATTTACCTGAGATGTAGACTAAAAAACAGAGTACTCAAAGAGAACCCAAGAAAGAATTTTAGGCTTAGACTCATGTGATCCTTTGATTGCTTAACTTTTTCTTTTTTTTTTCACCAATGACATTTGGTTTGTGATCAGCATTCCCACTGATCATGAAGTGGTGTTCATCAAAGCCCAGAGGAGCGTCAGTGATGGGATGTATAATTCTGAAAACAACTCCTTCATAATAAAGTGGTCTCTTTTTCATGGTATACTTCAAACAGCAGTTCATCCATCCAGCTGAATATTCTCTGCTCAAACGTTGTTTTATGCTCCCGTTTCTGCCTCTTCTTTGCTGTCCACGCAGCCCACAGATCATGTTATATTTTCTTTCACAATGCTGCGATACATGCAGCTCAACAGAGCTAACTCACTGGCTGTCATCATCACTACAGTTGGATTTACTGTCTTCCCTCAAACATACAAACAACTATAATGAAATGTATTATTTAGTGTGAGCAATTTTCTACTGTTTCTTCACATTTGTTTTGATTTGGCCATACAAAGAGTTTCAAAACCCTTACTGAAAAATCCTCTAATTTAAGCTCAGCTATGTCAAATAAGCTCTCAAATGTTTCATTTAAGTCCTCTGATGCTCTCTAGTGGTACAAAGTGCATAGTTCAGAAAGTCACCCAGCTGACTTTTGATCTATACATCACATCGCAGCCCACTTCTAACTGCAGACGACGCTATTTCATCAGGAGGTCAGAAAGCGTCGTTGCTTTGAGCGCCTACATCAAACAATCAAGTCCAGTTCTTGTGAATAGTAAGGCAGATGTTGAGAGCTAAACAATCGCTTCTAGGTGCTCCAGGTTAGTTTAAAAGAAGACATCAAATGGAATGGTTAAGCAAGTAATATGAAAATAAACTGCAGTGCTGCTGCAGTGTCTCGCTGTGACCACACGAAGTACTGCCAAGAAACAGTGTGGTATCTCTCTATGCACTGCAACTAGACCTACTTCAAAGGCTTATATAAAAGGAAAGGCACTTCTCTGCAAGAACATCAAAGACCCAAATGAATTGTGCAAAAAAAAAAAAAAAAAAAACATCCGAGCATTGAAGGCGGAAAAAAAATCAAGATGTCCCATAGGTCAGTTGAGTTTCTTTTCAAGGATACAGGTAGCCTTAGAAATGCATAAAAACATAAAATGATTTTACAAAAGTACCTATCTCTAGACCACATGTGTCAAACACAAGGCCCGCGGGCCAAATGTGGCC